GGTTTTCTCAAAGTTTAAATAATTGCTTTCTTTACATACGAACTGAAATAATAGCGTTCCAAATATTTGCAATTGAATGCTATCTTTTTGACCTATTAAACATTTACGCTGCTTCCACTGCGAGTTCACCGATTTCCTGATTACAATCTGTCTTGAAAAAAATGAAAAACTTGTGCCGCTTCGAATAATATACGTATTCCGTGAAAAAATTTGACGGCAAAGCCAAACGCGTTATCCGAATGACCCCGGGAGAACAGTGTTGCATACCTGAGAAATCTAATCCCTCGAGCAGGCCCTAATCACCCTTAATGCCGAAGAAAATTCAACAGGGAGAACGAGAGGCGGTAATAAATTCGTTTTAGAGTCCCCGAAAGCAGCGTTCCAGCGAATCCTGATCCTCGTCGAATAGAAATGCGTTTTTTAAGTCAATTAAGGTTATCGGATAAAAGAAATATTTGTGCTGGTGTCACCGACAGCCATAGGTGAACAACGTAGCAGCAGGCCGCAAATAACACGAGCTATGCAAATTTATGTTGAACGAGACGGGTCAAATGTCGGCTGGGTCGCGGGTCATTAGCCATTTGCATTTCCATTCGATTAAGCAATGCCCATCGTTGGACATCGTTGGCTTCGATATCGGTCTCCGTATCGAGTTTTTTCGGTAAAAACGTCGAATAAAACAGAAATTAATTCGCAGCTGTGCCAACCCTTCCCGAATCGTACGAATTTCGTAGAATTTCCTTCTTTCCGAATACTCTTGAAATTTTAAGTAGCAATATTTTTCGAGTAGTTTATTCGAAGGGACGAAGTTTGCGAATTTAGTACGTGTCAGGGTTATAACGGGCGCAGAACGATCGATTATCCGATTCATGAGATACCCAGTGAGATTCGTTGATAGTTTTTTCATTATTCATTCTAGTTATATAAATACTTATAATAACAATACACTAATTAGTTTCGTAATTACGCGTGAAAGTGTATAGAAGAGTCTGTGAGAGCCCAAGACTGCAAAATACGATGTACGCCCATAATTAAAGGTTACGCACAATTATTACGTCGATGTGCTAATACTTTCTTAATCCCTGTATGAATTCGAGGGGAACATCTGATTCCATAGGTGATACTATTACGACGTCTATCACGGTGATACGGCAGTGATTGATCGGTAATCGAAGATAAGAAGATGCATCGCGTATTCGATTTCTCCGCAGTTAGTCAAGCAGCAATTACATCGATCGCGATTAGATCCATTCGCCGACTCCGAGGACTGTCGCTAAAAAATTTCGCGCGTTATGACTAGAAGAAGAGAAAAAATAAAGATTCGCTATCACGGTGGTCCGTTCGATAAAGGAGATAAATCAACGATTCGCGATCCACGGAATCCACGGTGGCGTCGACGCGGCTCGTCGTGTTCGATCGTACGCGGCATTCTCAACGAGCCAGCCACAGGCGTCGTTTTTGCAAAAGAGTTCGCCGATTGAGATTCCGTCCACGACGCCCAGGCGTTGCGCCGTGGCACGTGGGGTTTTCGATTCGACTCCCATGGGAGTCTTTTCCTTCTCGCCTTTCGATCGTTGCCTCCTTCTATAACGACCACGATTCTATGTCATCTTCCATCGCTTTGCACTCGTCTCACGAAATATTCAAAATATTGCGAATTGTCCTCGCGAACGATGCAGAACTTAATCGTGCGCGGAAAATTTCATGCAGCGAACATATCGATTCTGTGCAAAAAGCGAAATCGAAAACTCCTCTAGCACTTTTCAATCCGAAGCTTCGCTTTCGACGGACAGGCAATTGAAAATTAGGTATTCGACTTCCTCGGTGCTCCTCGGTCACCGGAAGTTGCCTGTCCAATCTTAAATCGCTTATATCTCGGAAACGAAGCGTCGGATCGCGGAACAGTAAAGAACTCTCCGATTTGTTTCGTCGCCAACAATTTATGATCTCTTCCTGCGATTGTTTACAAGATTTTAATCGGTAACATAGTTACTTATAATACATATTTCCTTTGTACGGTGTATGTACAATATTACCAGTATCCATGGAGAATTCCTTGTCGCTTAACAGCGTGTTAGAACCTTCTATCGGTCAGCTCGTTCGAGTTGGCACGAGCGAAGAAGCAAGATTTTTCGAGTCTAAACGACGCCTGGATACTTTTTCTTCCCCCGAGTTCGTAACCGCGCGTCGGTATGCAAATTCACGTTGGCACGCGTGCGTGTGCGTGCGTGTACGTGCGTGGCGCGTAGAGACAAAGGTGCTTATGGGTTACGGGAGACTTACCGTGCGTGCACGCCATACATACCTAATGGAGTTTCGGCGGTACGCCGTTGAAAGAGCTTATAGCCATGCAAATCCAGCTGTGCAGATATCCCTGAGCTCGCCAAAGAAACACGATTTTTATCGACTCGTGCCATCCAATCGTACGTCTCTAACTTCTCCTCGATACACTGTTGCTTTCTTTTTGTATTCTTCTCCGTTCGTTCTTCCTTTCTTTTGGCCTCGCCATTTTCTTTGTAACATTTCTTTTGCTCGTTTCAATATAAAAACCATTCCCCTATTAAAATTAACAAATTTTTAAACGATTCGATGATTTTCAAAATCGATCACCGACTATATTTGAAATATAACGAAGACGAAGGTGATTATAATTGTTCGTGTTAAGGAACGTAACCTTTCCAAAAGTTGTGGGTGGCGCGTTAGGATCGATGTCGAACGACGGAAAAGAATTTCTCGACGCGCTATCTCGAGCGGCACATTTGATGGTGTATTTCGCGCGAACGCCATAAGGCGTACACGGCGCACGGCATAGAGCAAGCGTACCTACAACCACGACGACGACGCCGATGCACCTGCACCTGCCCGCCAGTTGCACCCCTCTGCAACAACGATGCTATCTAGGATGGTGTGCATGCCCCCTTGCCTGTTCGCTTTCGTTGCTCTTGCCGCCGTCGCCTCCGTCGCCGTCGCCGCGACCGACACCTGACGCTCCTTCGTCTACACGGGTTCCTCTCTTCTCTTTCTGCTACACCCAACTACACGAGCACGCGTCCTTTCTGCGTGTGCACCTCTGCTTTGTGAAAAGTACCATTAACCTGGCTTCTCACACACGCGAAGCTCCGCGCTTTCAACTTGTCCGTTTTATCCTTGAACGCCTTTCTTACCACCTACGAGCCGCAGGAATTCGATCGTTTCGGATACCTTTGTTTCTTTTATTACGTAGATGTTACCCGAGTTGCATTTCTTGAATACAGAAATCCACGTGCAATTCATTTGTAAAAGTGATAGCTATTACTTCTACTTATCTGTACAAAGTCTCGTATAAGTATCGTAACCGCGCGTCGGTATGCAAATTCACGTTGGCACGCGTGCGTGTGCGTGCGTGTACGTGCGTGGCGCGTAGAGACAAAGGTGCTTATGGGTTACGGGAGACTTACCGTGCGTGCACGCCATACATACCTAATGGAGTTTCGGCGGTACGCCGTTGAAAGAGCTTATAGCCATGCAAATCCAGCTGTGCAGATATCCCTGAGCTCGCCAAAGAAACACGATTTTTATCGACTCGTGCCATCCAATCGTACGTCTCTAACTTCTCCTCGATACACTGTTGCTTTCTTTTTGTATTCTTCTCCGTTCGTTCTTCCTTTCTTTTGGCCTCGCCATTTTCTTTGTAACATTTCTTTTGCTCGTTTCAATATAAAAACCATTCCCCTATTAAAATTAACAAATTTTTAAACGATTCGATGATTTTCAAAATCGATCACCGACTATATTTGAAATATAACGAAGACGAAGGTGATTATAATTGTTCGTGTTAAGGAACGTAACCTTTCCAAAAGTTGTGGGTGGCGCGTTAGGATCGATGTCGAACGACGGAAAAGAATTTCTCGACGCGCTATCTCGAGCGGCACATTTGATGGTGTATTTCGCGCGAACGCCATAAGGCGTACACGGCGCACGGCATAGAGCAAGCGTACCTACAACCACGACGACGACGCCGATGCACCTGCACCTGCCCGCCAGTTGCACCCCTCTGCAACAACGATGCTATCTAGGATGGTGTGCATGCCCCCTTGCCTGTTCGCTTTCGTTGCTCTTGCCGCCGTCGCCTCCGTCGCCGTCGCCGCGACCGACACCTGACGCTCCTTCGTCTACACGGGTTCCTCTCTTCTCTTTCTGCTACACCCAACTACACGAGCACGCGTCCTTTCTGCGTGTGCACCTCTGCTTTGTGAAAAGTACCATTAACCTGGCTTCTCACACACGCGAAGCTCCGCGCTTTCAACTTGTCCGTTTTATCCTTGAACGCCTTTCTTACCACCTACGAGCCGCAGGAATTCGATCGTTTCGGATACCTTTGTTTCTTTTATTACGTAGATGTTACCCGAGTTGCATTTCTTGAATACAGAAATCCACGTGCAATTCATTTGTAAAAGTGATAGCTATTACTTCTACTTATCTGTACAAAGTCTCGTATAAGTATTAACCCTTTGCACTCGAAGATAATTTTACTGTTTGCAAACAGTAACTTTGAAATATTAATTAAAATGTTAAGTGACTTCTTTTGAAGTTATTATTTCTCTACTAATAATTTCCACTATTGTCTATTTCACTATGTTTATACATCACATAAGCACTATTATAGAATTAATTAAATAATGCGTCTTTTAAATTATTGTATTAAATCCAATGGCGCCTAAGAGGCGCCTCTCGAGCGCAAAGGGTTATGATGAACGTATGTATGGAGAAGAAAGAGTTAGTCAAGTATTGTATATTAAATTTTTAACTTGTGTCCATTGCACCTGTTACTTAAGATAATTATTACCGGATAAAAGGAAGAATATGCATGTCTGAGAACGTGCCCTGAAACGCGGTGTCATCGACACGATAGGAAACGTCTTTAACAAAAATCACATGTACTGGTATACGCGAACGACCGTTTTAGCGTTTCTTTCGTGCGTACAGTCGTTTAATCGATGTATTATCTCGTGTTGTTGTAGATATACCGGCGCAAGTGCCGCCGTTAACACCTGGGACCAACAAGAAGATGACCGAGGCCCTAGAGGCCTCTTTCGCCTCGTGGGAGAAGGAACGAGTCCGTCTGAACATAACCAAAGGTGAGTGCCGCCTTTTTCTCCTCGTTTCGTTACTCGCATACGTATTCCAGCCTCGCGGAAACCTCTCCTTTTCTCTCTCTCCTTCTTTCTTCGTGCACGTTCCACGGCGTACAGGTTTCTCAACGACTTCTAATTACAGGATCATTGCCGCGATACCTCGATTCGACTCGACTCAGTTCGATTCGATCCGATTCCATTCGCGAACCTTTGACGTTTTCATCGAAACTACGTACCCATCCTCGCAGAAGCGATCGTAATTTTGGCACGATGATCGATAATGATCGGCTTGGCAAACGTAATTTATACCAGGCTACTTGATCATTCGGATGAAAGAAACTCGTTAATTAATAGTGGAGCTCTTCCCTTCTCGTCTTGGTGATATAACGAGAGACAACCGTGTTCGGTCGAAAAGGAGAAAGTTGTATTTGGAAAATTTATACAGGCATCAGTGACATATATGTATCAATGATTTCTATCTCAAATTCGAAAGTGATCGTAACTCACGATTAGCAGAATTAATTGGACACTTAACAACACCTATAACTCAGAGAGAACAAATTCCTTTAACTCGTAACGATCGAGGTTTTAACGAACTGTACTTCGATTCAACGGGAGCAGTTTTTGTATCGATGGCTACATTTGGTACTGTTCATTGAGACATCCTCGAAAGACGAAGACACGTTACATTGCTATACATTTTTGTATTTAATTTTTTCTTATCTCTCTTTCACTTTGCATACTACTCGACCAGGCTATTTTAGCAGGACCGGTGGATAATGAACTGTAATAGCGTGTATTTGTCGGTGACAATGAAAGCGTTAAGAAAAAATGAAAGACTCGATAAAAGTAGAAACAGATAGAGTTTCTCGATTCGTTGCACAATGGTTCACGGTCGAGCGCGAACAAGAGAAATTTTGTCGAAAAATCGGCGCCAAAGGACGAGGAGAAAGAGGAGTGCGGCGGAGGAGAAGAGTGCGTGTCGGTCGAAAAACAGGGAAAAAATTGTATGGTGCGTGAGTGCGCGAGTGCGTGGAGAGAGGAGACGCGATGTGATGTGATGTGCGACGAGGCGGCGATGTGCAGGAATTGTGAATGTGATGTTGATGGTTCTGATGGGGAGCCGATGCCACACATCCGGTATGCGCATTCAGAGCCACGCGGGTGTGACGTTACTTCCGGTCTACATGCCCCGGGTTCGTACCCTCCGGCCAGATCACCTACAGTCTGACCTCTGTGAACCTAACGAGCAACCTCGCGGCGTCGTTCCACTTCGAACGGACCGTCTACTCGCGCCGATTCTATTTTTTCTTTCTTTCTTCCTTCTACAACCCCATCTCCCTTTCCTTTCTCTTTTCTTTACTCCGGTTCTGTTTTGTTTCCAGTTCTATCCTTCTTACGAGCTAACCCGTGGCTATAAATTAAAACGTAACAAGATTGTTTCTGGCAGCAGCGTAGGAAATTTTTACCAAATTAAGACTCCGGAGATTTTGATAATGACAGTCATCTTAGACCTTGACTTACATTTAAACTTGAACATGAATCTAAACTTAGATCTACGCTTAATCCATGCTTAAAGTTAAACTCGGATCTATACTCGGATCTAAATTTAGATCTAGATCTATATTTAGTTGTACGTAAACTTGAACCTGAACTTACATCTCGAAATTCGACTCGGACCTACTCCTACAGTTAAACTTCGAGCGTCGATTAGCGACTCACGGCATTTCTTTTGGTTGTCAGCAAACGGAATTAGCGAAATGGTAACATAAAAGGTTCACTGTCGATGTTAGCCAGCTATTCGCACGCGTGTGCTACAACCGTCGAAGAAGCACCTGCTGCAAGGGAACACGGCGTGCATTTACGATTGCATTGCAGGACGTCAGAGTCTTCTGACGCATTCGTTATTATGATTTATTCAGAATCTGACTTTCTTATGAATAATAAGCGCCGCCAAGGATGCATTTTCTTCGTCGAATCAGCACGATTCGTCACGTATCGTTCGGCCACGCATCGACAAATTGTTCTTCGACACTTGGAACTTGCAACCCCTGTTACTCGACCGTTTATTCCTTTTTCCGACGCTTTCGTATAAACAGAACGCAATGTTTTTATTTCTCGCTTCCCCAATCGAACGAACTGAATATTTTTCACCGATCCTTTGTTCTCTACCGTTTGAATTTTGCGCATAATTTAGAATTCGTGAATCGCGTAAATTCGTAGTGGCACGTGTCGCTCGATCGTAATGAATAGAATTATTCTTCTTCGGACAGACGACTAATGAATTTTTCAACGGCCCTGTGCGTCATAATGCTCGCTACGATGCTCAGACAATTAATTAACGTCATAAATGTTATACATATTTTGCTGTTTTACGATCGTTGCTCAAATTATAACCGACATACAAATTATAGTACAATCGATTATCGTTCATGAAAAAAGACCATTTGAACTCGAATGATTATTCTGCTCGAATAACAGAATTGTTAGATAATAAGACAATTGTTTTCGTATGAAATTTTGTATAAATTATATGAATCTTTTAACGCTCGGAAGCGAGGGAGGAAAAGCAAAAGCGTTGTCCACCTGTTCACGAAGACTAGAAGAAATTTATCAGCGAAGAGCAGGTATATCGTATCGTAGGTAAACTTGGTCCTTGTGTAACGCAGACGGTTCCTAAACCAACCCTCCAAAATCACAGTCGGTATTTTGTCGATTATTGTCGTAAAAGGTTCTGCGCGTGGCACCTGCGACGGCTATTTGCGTTTAAGGATCGACGATTTTTAACATTTACGACCGCTTTCGGACACCTTTGACAATCGACGTTTTCTTCTATGGGAAAGGTGCATTGTGCTCTGCAATTATTTGCGGAAAATTAAACACCTTCGATTTAGTTAGCAGTTTGGTCGATTAGAAATTTATAAATCTGGAGTCTAAATAATTGGAATATTAGCGAGGCTGAAAGGTAATAAAAGTTCTAGTATGCGTGCAAGCACGCAGGTCGCCGAAGTCGTTTAAAGAGACGATAAAAGTGGAAGGTACACGGTAAGACATTGAAAACAGCCGGCAGGAACGCGAAAGAAGAGGGAGAAGATCGATCACGTAGTGGTTGTATGGCCATATCGAAATGTTTAGTCGTAGCTTCGATCTCGCGGATCGGTACGTGACTCGCGAGTCTAAGGCGGTTTTTATGAATGAAAGACGGGCTCGCGAAGAGGGCCGCGTTCGTGGAAAACGAGCAAGCGGATCGACGCGGTGCGATGCGGTGCGACGGATCGTTCCACGGCGATAATACATAAATAGAGGAAAGGTGAGAGAGCAAAGAGGAGACCCCGAGCCACGCCAAGTGTCTAACGGCACGGCACGATCAAAGCGACCGCCGATATTTGAGGATCGCGCCGATGTTTGCCGAACTTATTCCTTGTCAGCATTGTTAACAGACTCTCCCCCACTTTTTCGTAAACCTATCCCACTCGTTGCTTAGTTTCCTCGTTCTTTCTTTTCTCTAGTTTTAGATTGCTCCTTTTATTTCACCTCCAAGTTTCCTTCGGTATTCGTCGTACGTTTTTCTCGTGAATCGGAAAGCGTTTAAAACGCGACACGAGAATAAGTAGGCAAATCTTGGTCGAGAGCGTCTCTCGCAAACCTGCTTAGCAAATAACCGAAATAAATAAATGTTTGTGCATAAGGGAAGCTCGCTATCGTTCCTCGTGACCGGCGAGCTGTTCGTTGATTCGCTGGCACAGCTTTTAATCAACCGTACCGCAATAGGCTAATCTAGGCAATTAGTTTCCTACGACGTAATCAGCCGGCAGATAAGGTGAAATCAGCGGGTGGGAGTTAAAAGTCCTGTATTACATTAGATTACGCTCGGTGCATTATCACCGGCCGGAGTGGAATACGCATCGAGATCGCGGAGAGAAGGCCGAGGAGAAATCGGGGGGTTTCGCTTTCGATGCTTTCGTCGAAAACGTCTAGCAATTTCACCGACGAATTCTTTCGGACGATTCGTTTACGCACGTTTCGACGAATCGATGGCGAGCGTCGAAGCCGAAGAGAAAGGAAACAGCCTCGCGCGTTAGAACGGTTCGTTCGTAATTTCTGTTTGCATTATGAGCCGAACTGTACTTTTACGCGGGAAGATACCGCGAAACAATGCAAGACACGCGTGCAAATATGGGCGCGCACCTCAAATGGGACATTCCAATGTTTCTCGGTATTACTTCTACCAAAGATGGCCGGGCCTGAGCACCGATCATGTCGTCAACCCGACGCTATATATCTCTCTGTCTCTCTTTCTTCTTCGAAAAGCCTTTGTGTCGTTCGGCGATGTTCTTCTTCGTGTTTCTTCCATCGCGATATTTTATTCATTCTGCTCCCCTATCTCTACCTTTAACTCGAACCGCGCAAACACTTAATTAGCGTAGCTTTCTTCCACTGGTAGATACCTCTCTTCGGCTCTAAGAAAGTTCAGACTCCTACATAGATAAGTATAAATTTCGACTGGTTAAGAACTATCTCGAGCTTAGATAATTAATTAACTAGAGTTTCAAAAAAATTTGGGTAAATTCAAGATGCTCGAGTTAGCCAATTTTAAGTAGCTGACTTTAACCTAAATTACGATATCTGTGCTAAGTCGATAATATATTTCAGACCCGCGGCAATGGTCGGAAGCAGCTGTAGCTCACTGGTTGCACTGGGCAATCGGTGAGTTTTCCCTGGAGGGTGTGGCGATGCAACCCTGGCAACACATGACAGGGAAACAGATTTGTGCCATGGGGAAGGAATCCTTTTTGGCACGTGCTCCAGCCTTCATGGGCGATATCCTGTGGGAACACCTCGAGCTTCTACAGAAAGGTACGTGACTTTTTCTCTCTTTCTCGCGTAGTCTTTCGATCGATTATTTGCTACCACGATTGACAATCAAAAATCACCCTCGTCGACTATTACGAGCTCGTACTTCTTGAAAGAAGGATTAAGTCACGCTTTCGAGTAATCTGTCCCCTAAGTAGCAGAACACAGGTTCTATATAAAAATGTTCGATCGTCCCGTTCTCCGGTAGCGAAGCCGGAAGAATCGTTTTCCTAGCACCAAACAGATTTCCATCGGACAGAGAGAAAAAACATCGATCGAATTTCCGTAAAATCGCAATGTCACGGCAGGTACGAGCAGAAACTGGCCACGAACAATGGCCGGTTCGTGTTTGCGAGACGCGAATCCTCCCGTTGCCCTCTTCAGCGTCTCCCGTGATGGTGGCCTGTCGTGTTTCGAAGCGTTTCGAAGCGTTGAATCGGCACGTTTTATTCGAACTAAGGAGAGAATAGGAAGGGAGGGAAAAAAAAGCAGAGCCGCGCCATAGAAACTCCCACTCCGGATATCCTGTGCCACCAGAATGCTCCCGTGCCATTGCCTCGGCCACTTAGGTGGTTTTCGGCTCGTACCGTGCGCGTACTCGTGTTTCGATTACGAGATTCTACTCGAGATAGAACCCTGGATCCATTTACAATGGGATCGGACAATTTTCACGGGAACAGGGAGGAAATTCAAGTGTTCCAACGCCGTTGGGACCGTTTCTTTCAGTATTCTTGGAGATGGACCATTTTTACCGCGAATAGCCTTACGATGGTCTTTTTTTTTGATGGACAAGGAGAAACCCATCCGAAATGGTTAGGGAGTAGGTCAATTTCCCGATGATTCGGATGATGGTTTAGCCATGGTAGCAAGTTGATCGGATATTTCGTCGATGAAACTTTTTATCGTCGTATTTGCATTCTTTCGAGATTGATGTTTAGAACGATTAGAGGGTAGTTTAGGTTTCTGATCATTCGAATGATGGCGTTGATTATGCTAAACATTTTATCGTATTCTTATTTATGATATTTTTCAAAGAACGTACTTGAAACGATTAGGGTTAAAGTGCACCGTCGCGTCAAAGAATCGAAGACGGAATAGATATCCGTAGCCCGATATTCGCTTTATTCGGCTTCTGTTCGACAAAAATCTTTGTCGAAGATCGTTGTCTGTTATTTGCGATCCGCTCGGTGCAAGTATCGTATATCGTTCGCCAAAGGAAGTTTCCCTGGAACTTCTACATCTTCGGTAAGAGAACACAGGAAGGGCGTGAGCGAACGAAAGAGAGAGGCAGATAAATGACCATAAGAGTGGATGAAGGGAGAAAGAGGAACATAGACAACGACGGTGAACAGAGAAGCTATGAAATGATCCCGGGCCGGAAGCGGAGGTTCACCCATGATTTAATTCCCTGTTAAGTAAAAGCCCGTACTTCCTTATCGATTATTCGTGTCGTCCGATCGACCAGAGAACCGCGATTCGATCGACTGATTCGATTCGACACGAATCTCGTCGAATGCAACATTTTTTCCTCTTCCTATTTCGCAACCAACTTTTTTCGGCTTTCGACCTTCTTTACCTGTAAACTCGCGTGGGCCGTAAAAATAATTACATTCTATGAGACCTTCTTTTGCTCCGGTATTCTTTTTATCTACATCTTCGTGTGCTGTTTAAAATTTATATTATATAGCGTAATAGTATTACAGTTTACGTTCGTGTTACGATAGGGGTCCACGATGAAATCGAGAATAGACATAATGGGACGTTGTTTAAAATTCGCATACAGAATTATCGTATTACGAATCTCCGCTTTCGCGACATTCTGATAACGAGCACGATAATATACCGTTTCTCCGACAAAACTCGGATTTTTGGCTTCGCTATAAAGCACTTTTAACAATGGGAAATCGTAATTCAGCACGGTTCGTGCTGGTACACGCGCGTACTCGCGACATAGCGTGGGTAATCGCTTTGATTTCGCGAACGAGAACGGATATTAGGAAACTCTCGTGCGCCGTAACAGAAAAAAAAGTAGAAACTAAAAAGCTGTATCCTCCCGTTGCAGACACGATCGAATCATTTGATGAAACACGGTGATCGTCCTTTCGCTTCGCTTACAAGCGAATTCTGTCGTTTTCTGTCGTTTCGTCGACATTCCTTTCGTAACGCTTCAATTTCTATTTCTTCTTCTTCTTCTTCGTTTTCCTCTTTCTCGTTGAAATACCGAGTAAAAGATACGAAAATATGTTTGCCCGTTTGTTTAAATTTTCTGTCAGATTAGAAATAAAAAATTGCGTAGTTGAGAGGAGGAACTTAAAGCGAACAAAACGATACATCTGTAAGAAAGAAATCGAAAGCACGTCGAGCGTGTTTCCTTTTTCAAGGAATTCGAACGCGTGGAACGAGACGATCAAAGTAACTTATTTCGAACGTACGTACAGATAGAAGATTGCTCGTCGGCGATCCGATCGAAGATCGTTTTTTCATTTCTGCCCAATGTTGTTTCTCGATCGGAAACGTAGAATCGTTGCCGGTGAATCACGCGAATGGCAATCGTCTCCTTCGCAATAATGGCCGTAATAATGGAGCACGCGGTTAGATCGTTCATCACGATTACGTTGTTCACGATGCTCCGACGATAAAAACGAAGACTCGATTTTACACACGCGGGCCGTGCCGGCGTAATTGGCTTAATGACACGGAATTCTATAATCACGACGATACACGCATTAATCACACCTCTCGTGATATCTGACCGTCGTTTAAACAACGCTTCTAAGTAAATAGTGGTAACCGTAATCGAAGGTCGAACACGAACAAGAAAGATCGAACGATATTCCTCTTCTTTCTCGTATCGGTCTTCTTTTTCTTGTATGATCATTTTTTCGTAAGAAGAGACCATCGTATCGTTAAGCTGGTTACTATCCTCGCGAATAGTCCCGTCTAGCGACCAACGTTGTTAGTTGCGAGAACGAGGAAGAAAGAGGATCAAGATCGAGCATAATCGGTCGAAGAAAGCGTGGCACAAACTCCCGAACTGAGGATTTGTTCCGTTTTCCATCCAGATGTCGACGCGGCGAAGGCCTCGCTGGAGAACGTGCCTGCCAATGTGTACGAAAGCGTATGCGTGCCAGATTTAGGTGATTTCTTGGGATACCAGGGGACGGGGCATCAGGTGGCGACGCCGGAACACAAGAGTCCAGCGACGCCCGCTAGTTCCACCACCTCGAACTCGTCGTCGACGAACCCTCGAACCGGGACACAACCGTCGGCCCCGTTGCAACCACCCTCCGCCACCGCCTCTCTGCCATCGAGACAGTATCATAACGATGGTAAGTTAACTTTAAGTCGAATCGATAGACTTTAGATTACTCGGTTCAGGCTATTTTTATTCGGGAACCGATGTTTAAAGTCGCGCGCGACGGTAATACGAATATAGGGGCAAGGTTAAGAGCGAAGACTCGGCTAGGAGAAAACGAACAGCCTATTAGAGGGTTATCCGAGAGAGGATCCTGCTCGGAACTCGTGGGTAATTACAGTCGAATCAAAGGATATACATCTAAATGAACGGTTATTTGGGAAAAAAGGTTAATGTTGCGGGCCCTTCTAGCGGCAAACGCAGGAAGTACCGTGTCGAGGAAACTCGTTACGATAATATCTACTCGACGTGAAAATTTCGGGATACGTGTTCGTAGAGCGTCGTCGCGAGTACAAAGAACGCGTAAAAAAAATGTAATTTCTGTCCGATCGACGGAGTCCAGGTGAGGCTGAAATCGCGCGACACGAGGTCGGTTTATTTATTTTCCCCGATTGCAACGACGAACGAAAGCGGTTGCGACTCGGCAGAGGAGTTTCTCATTGTTACGTCAGGGTTGCTGATAGCATCTCTCGGTTCGCCGCGTTTGCACGTGTTGCCACAGGTCTCTCATTATCGTCGTTGTTCGCCTCTCGTTTAACGTTTCGTCGTCGTGTTCGTCGTCGTGTTGGTCGTCGACGTTAACGAAGATCCTGGCGATTTCACCGGTGGCCCTTCTGCTCCCGCTAGAAATCGACTCGACGAGCCGTTTAGAGGTCGACTTCCATCCAGTCAGAGGGTGGATTGCAATATCTGGTGGGTCGTTGATGGTGCGCAATCCGTGCCGTGATTCACCTTATTCTCGCTGTTTTCATCGCTGAACTCTGACGCAACTCATTCAGTCTGAAGGACTCGTTGTTCCAACCGCGAACAATGGAAAACGCGGGCCAACGGAACGTTAACTGGGAGTGGAGCGTCCCATTCATCTCGGAGCAGAGCAATTTGTTGTCCTGGATTTTTCCTTGTTTCCCGACTACTGACCGTTACCGACCACCCGTAGGACACGGGTCGTTTACGTTTGGGTCATATCTTCCGCCAAATTTATAGACACGCGAACAAAGATTAAGCACTTTGTTCCTGGAAGTCGTTCTTCGCGGATGGCTACTGTTATACCTTTGAATCTGTAACGATGTTTCTGGAAAGTAACGTTATTCAACTTTGACTTCTCGAAGCGATTTAGTCGCATTTACGTGACCTAGCTCGACCAAACTCGTCTTGATTTCAGATAGAGTCTACTCGAGGTTACTCGACTTTGACGAAAAGTTTATTCGCGTTCGGTTCCTACGAACACGTTTCTAACTGAATCGGTGCTTCCGTATCCACGACGTGTTCGTACACATAACCAATTTCATTCAAGCAATCGGAGTCAGTTTGTTATCCAGTAAGAACACGTGTGTTCGGCGCACGCGAGTGGATCGTAGCCGACTCGAATAGAACGGAACGGAGTAGAACATTATGAAGCGAGCGTTCGTAGCGTAGGTAACAATTACCTAGCCAGGGGCCTTACGTCATTGCAGCAGTGACCGTGGGTGAACGAGGGAAAGTCGGGCCCTCTGCACGCTTCGCCGCGGACAATGAAGACGACGCCGCGCCATACCGCCTCTTCCCATCCTCGCTTTTAGTCCAATAACAAAATACTCCCGCAATAACCGCGCATACTCTGTCATCGCCCGAAACTATTTTCCAATTTCGATCTGCTAATTTTTTACTCGTTACTTTCGTTTGGGCGAAAAAGTTCTCGGTCCTCGAACAGCGTCGAAAGAGGTCCAAAATTAAATTTAAATCGCTGGAAGGTACAATGTGAAATTTTTAATTTGTTTCTTAAATTAAAGACAAAAATTTGGAGATAGTTAAATTGCGAAACGATTACGTGAGATATGGAAACTAGCACGATACAATTTCACGCGTTACATAATGTATCGATACGTGCGTTAAACTATTCGTCGTTGTTTATTTTGCTATAATACAGATGGTTATTTCGTCAATCCGTGACAGGCGTTTCCACGGTAAAATCGTCGAAAGATTTTGCATTAAGGCTTGGCGAACTGTATCACGTTCGGTGTGCACGTAGAACGTGTCGTTGCAAGACGACCAACACAGACGACCGTATAATAGACTCATTATTTCTGCTTGCCGGAGCACTGTTACGTTGTGTATCGCGGCTCTTCGAGGTCTCTGGTTCGACTCTCGCTTATCCTCGCTTTCGACCTCCTCCTCTTGGAACCGATGCATTACGTTACTATTGCACACATACACGCACTCCTCGACTCTCTCAACCTTTCCAATCCCAACGCGAATGATAAATACGCGTCGCAAACAATAAAAAAAAACTCGAAGACTTCCAATCAATTATTTTACATTTTAAACGTATCCGGAGAAGTTGAAGTTTGTGATTATCATTTTTTTCTAGGAAAGATTTCTTGTTACTTAGTGTCTTATGAATATTCGGTATTTACTGTTCGCTCATTGCAACACGAATTCTAGTTATTGAAACAAATCGGAAAGCCTCGTACATATTTTTGGCAAGAGCAATTTTTTAGTCAGATTGAAAAACGAGCAGACTTCAACTTGACCTAACGAACCGACAGAATTGAACTCGTAACCACCGCGTAACGATCGATAAATCGACAAGTTCCCTTTATCGAAAAGATCAACATCGAAGAACATTTATTCGAAACGTCGAAGCGCTGTATTTAAAATATCAAAGTGGTAGCAAGTAGGCTTTTGTGTTTCGAAAGCGAAGCAAACGTTTCACGAATACCGAACGAAGAGATCGATAGGAACTTCTTGGAGCCTCGAAGCGTTTGATCGAGCAATTTTCGAGGATTACTGTTCATCGAGGGGTTTATTCGGTGCTTCGTGTCACGTATCTCATCGCACGTGCACGCACACGGTCGCGCGTGAATAAATTAAGAGGAAGGCAAAAGCAGTCGAATCCCTGGTCGGCAGCTCGACCGATTCCAACAGTTTACTGACACCCTGGCCAAAAAAGGCACGGCCATCGTGTGACGCCATTCGATACGTTTATGGAAAGGTTAGTCAATCGTGCCGACGAGTAACAATTGATTATTTGTTAAGCAACCACTGCGTGATAACCAACCGAAGGTTGGCCACGCGGCATTTTGATTCGACCACGGGTTATTTCTTCTTTCGTTTTTTCGACCATGAGAGTTGTACGTATAAGCTCTTATAGAAGCTTATGAAATTTCATTTTTAGTTAACAATTGTGCAAAAGACCGGTGAAAATCTCTGAAGAAAAATTGTAGATCCCCTCGCGAAGAAGGAATTCTTTTCTTCCTTTTCTTCTGGAAAACAGTGGCGCACGTGTGCGCTGAAAATGCCAGGAGAAAGCGATCGCTTCGATTAAGGGGTCTTTCGGGGTTCAATCGAAGAGGTTGCTTTGATATTTCGGTATTGGATGTCGTTGGAACGAGTTGAGCAGCGCTGTTGAAAATGGAAAGGTGGAAGGGTGAATGAGTCGAGACGTTGAATGGAGGGTTCGAAGGGTGGAAGGATTTTTAAAGGATGTTAAAACTGCTGACATACATACTATAACACCAAATTCATCGTAAGCTTTTACGATAATCCTATAACATCTTTTAAAAGAACTTTGTAACATAAACGAGTGCAGAAAATTAGTCGAATATATCAATGTCTATAGAATGAGCGCAAAAAATGATTAAAAAAGAAAAATTGCCGGAGTCTCGCAGAGTGACATCGATTGAATTAAAGAAACAGTCTGACGGCATCAGAATTAATGCGTTGCATATAATCATCGTTGCTAATGATTACCTTCCAAGTTGTTTCTTCCCGCCTCGAATACATAATTGCCAGTGTTTCATAAGGTCCATTTAAGCCACGTTTACACTGGTACATACGAAATAAATCACAGTCAGGTAGATCTCCCTTTATAAATGCTACCGAGCACGCTGGATTTTCCTTGCAAAAATCATTTTAAATTCCTAAATTCCCGAGAATCTAGAGGTTCCAAGAAGAACCTTGAAAAAACTTGGAAACCGAATAGAGAGGAAAAACCTAGAGAGAACCTAATCTATATTAAACCTATCTCTCCTCTACGCTTCCTGTTAACTAAGGAAAAGCTAAACCGCTACATCCGTGCATGCTACATAATTTCAATATCTTTTACGTACTTTAATATTCTATAAATTAATATAAAAATTCACGAACCATTGAATCTACTTAAGTAAATATCCACCATTTTTTCGTACCCTTATATAGCAATGTAGTTCGACAACCAATTAACATGTCGTCGAAAGTACCCCCGTAGAAAAACAAACCAATAGAAAACAGGGTCTGCGATAGAAGGGTGTTAGAGGGTGAACATATGCCAACAGGGTCTCGTAGAATTGTGCAAGGCTGCGGAACAAACGCTATTAAACGGGGATGAAGGATCCAGAAAGAGAAAGAATAGGGTAGTAGAGGGATGAAACCAACCACGAAGGGAAAAGGCGTACGCAGAGGGGAGAAGGGATGATGGTGGACGCAGGTTGTATTCATTCACTCGTTCATTCATAGTTCGTACACCGCCTCGGGGGTCTACAAAGCCTCTCGCTCATTCAGAACTCACGACACGACCACGTTATACGTGTATGTGTACGCGTGTACGTATGCGTGAACACGTATGCGTGTGAGGGTATTTTTTTCGTCCCTTCTTCCTGTCCATGTATACATACAGCGAGGAGTGAAACTGAACCAATCGAATCGTTCTTTCAGAAAATTAATACATATTCAATTTTTATATTTTTTATTATTTCTTATTAATTTTATCGTTGAATATACCCTACGTTTTAAGTGATCGAATCTTTCGAAGTGGCTACATCCTCGCAATTTTTCGCTACGCGTATATTCGGCAGATAAAGAAGTGTAAATCATCGTTCGATAAATATTTCATCCAACTAGTAGCTAACGTGTACGTACGAGAATTTTCGTAAAAATAGAGCGCTATCGATTCGCTCG